ATAAGGATCATCACAATAAGCACTTACCCTGTATAATTATTAAGAGAATGAAATTGAAGGGAAGGAAGGGATAGGGGAAAAAAAGCAAGGTATTTCATGTATACTCACAAATTACCTATGTTGAATGTTATCATCATGTATACCTAAAATGTACCAATAAAATAAAGTACCAAGAGGGAACCAAACAACCACAGAAAAAGAAAAGAAAACAAAGTACTGAGCACCATTGCTTGGCTCATAATTAAAGTATCTGCAAATCTTACTTAACTGTAAGCAAAGTTTTTGTTTTTATCAGTTAGAGGAACTATATTTGTATTAGCTTTCTCCAAGTATCTCAGACATTTCCTGGCATTAGCTTTCCTTAATTCTTTCTATTATTGTTATTATTATTATTATTATTATTATTATTATTATTTGTATTTGTATTTTTACTGGTACCAGGGATCGAACTCATGACTACAGGTTTGCAAGGCAGGCGCTTATGCCACTGAGCTAAATCCCCAGCCTCCTTCATTCTTTCTAACCTCCGTTTATAATTTTAATGGGACTAACATCTTCTCACCCTGCCTGGGTCTTAGTCATTCTAATATAACATTTGATTTTATATTTTACGTAATTTTCTGTAGAAGTTACAGCAGCAACATTTCTATTTCTGATGTTTTTTGAGAATTTTGGGCAGATAAGGGACAGGATAGTTTCTTCTGCTTTTTAATACACTGAGCATTTACATCTGCCTGTCATGTAGTTTTTTGTTTATGTCTGAAGCCCAAATATACATGAAATTGACATAAACTGTGTGGTTCCAACGTTATATATAACATCTACTGGTTTTATGAAATCATAGGTTTAGTGGTTCAGCATTTCAATAAAATGCTACCAACTCTCGTGGTTAATGCTATGTGTCAAGCTGCGCCACACATTGTGTTCTATATTGGGTCAAATATTCTGAGTATATTTGTGAAATCATTTTCAATAAATTCAATCAGTAGAATAGGTAAAGCAGATTGTCCTCCCTAATGTGAGTAACCCTCACCCAAGCCATGGCTGGTATGCACAGACGTGGTGAATGTTTGAATTAAAACTTTTTTACAATAAAATAGATGTCACCATTAATTTCCCTCAGAACAGTCCCGTCACTTCAGACACGCTGATTCCATCATTCTTGCCACTTTCCAAAGTCCTCTGTCTTGAATATCTTTGTGAGGTGTGATAAAAATTCAGTGAATATGGTTGCTGAATGCCAATTACTGAAAGGTGTATGCTCTTCCACCTGGTTCTTCAGATCCATTACTGTGTGACTTCTGACTCTTAGCCAAAGCCAAGATGACAAAAATATAATTTTGAATTGACTTAGGACATCAAGGCAGCCATCACAGTATAACTAAATAAATTTTATAAAGGTACATAATTATGAAGAAACACATTTTAAATGTTTTCTGAAATTATCTCCAACATTTGTACAGGATTAATGATTTTTGCCTTCATTTTGCTACATTTTTTGTATTTTCATTAAACATTTGCTTCATTTTATTTTAATTTGGCCTCCCATGTTAAGCTATGAGCTTTCTAAGGTTAAGATTTATAGACAAACTCTCATCTTATTGAGTAATTTCATACATGATTTATCACAAGAACCAGCCAATGATTGAATTAAAACATAAAGAACTATGTTTAGAAGATAGCAAGAAAAAGAGTCATGTGGCTGGGGAAGTGTATGACCTTGAGGACACTGAAGTAGGTAGATTGATACTGATTCTTAAATCCACAACATTACACTAAATTATTTTAAATCAACTGTAAGCAACAAATAACAATTGAAAAAACTAAAGGAGAGTTGTAGTACATTGTTTGCATTCTGAAAAGATGCTTTACTGGAAGAAGTGAATTAGTTATGACTGTAGCATTGCTTAATATCTCTGTGAATAACTCCTCTACCAGCTAAGCATCATGGCTCATGCCTATAATCCCAGTACTGGGGAAGCTAAAGCAGGAGGATCATAGTGAGTTCAAGACAAGCCTGGGCTACAAAGTGAGCTCAAGTGTAGCCTGAACTACATAATAAGACCCTGATAAAAAAAAAAAAAAAAAAAAAAAACCTCCTCTATCCATTCCAGAAGTCATTTTCAGAGTGTCCCTCTGTGCTCATGGAATTCTGTGTTCTCTACCTAAGGCAGTATCTGTCAAGGAAGTTTTTCAGCCTTTCTATATGGTACAGGCCATAAGTGCCTGATAATAAATGCTTCCAACAATAGCCACTAGCAAATATCAAACAATAAGTAATGTAAAAATCCAGTACTTTGTACTCTAATGGAACAAACTGAAGATAGTTCTATATCATCTCTCAGAGTGTCTCCAGTGGCACTGAGCCATACACTCTCACAATGGAAACCACAGATGCCTTCTTAACTTACTGCCCTTCCTTACCTCACTTTCCCATCCCCTTATCACATTGTCTAGGAGCCGTTTCCTAGTGAGTTGCTTATATCCCAGCTTTTAAGTCAATGTGTGCTATTGTGAAAATATAAATCAAATTTCCTGTTTTGTCTTCTACCTAATGGAGGGAAATGTTGAGAAGAAGTTTAGTAATAGTATTTTTGTGTTATATGTTTCAGATAATAAATAAGAAGAACTCACAAATTATAGTATTTAAGTAAAAAAGATTCTTACATTTGGGTACTTTATGTTTATTTCTGAATAAAAGCAGAAAATGCTTACATATTCCTGTAATAGGAGACTGAACACTGAGCGCTGGGAAGGTTGATATATTTATGCAATTGTCTACCATGTTTTGGCCATAGTTAATTAATTCATTTCTTAAATATACAAATACATAAATATCAGGAACTGACATTTAAGTGAAAAATTATTCATCAATAGAATTACATTAATATAAAGTTCAGGCACAATTATTAAATTATTATTTAATATTTGATAGAACATTTTCTTTAAATAAAGACCTCCAACAAGGCAATAACAGATTTTATTTTTATGTCTTCATTATTGTAAGACATCAATGAGAGAAAAATTAAAACACTTTTGAAACCCTGGAAGAGAAATTAATGACAAATTAGAGGCTAACTTGTTTACCGCTATTTATTATTTCTCCCTTTCCCTCAGTGACCATGTACAACACACAATAATATAATAATGCTATTCTCTTCGCTGGATATATTACTTTTCTAAAAGTAAACTCAGTATGCTCGACCCTCCCCATGACAGACGTAGCAACATTAATTTTGGTTTATTAGTCATTTATTTCAGTTAATTTCATTTAGAATAAATCTTTAGGGTTTCAGGGAAAGCAGGTAGTAAAGGGAACAGGACATGAACACGATGAGTATGCCTCTGAAAACTTCTTTCCCCAAGTGACCACCAACTCAGTTTTGCTTTTAGTGTTCACATCATATTTCCCCACAGATGGTCATACTGTAGTTTCACTTTGGGCTCTAGATAGACCTAATACACAGATGAAATTCAGAGCAGGTGCTGATTCTGTAACAAGTTTAGGTAGGAAAATGGAGGAAAATGTGACAGGAGTGTATGATGGTATGTTGTAGAAACTATGGAGGCAAGCAAAGAAATATTTCAAAAATTGAGATTCCACCTCAGGCAGGGTGTTGGATGTCCCTTAGACCATACTCAAAGCAGGTGTCTGAGAAAGCAGTCACAGCACACTCAGTTGCAAACTGTCCTCAGAACCTCTGATTTATTAGTCTTTTATTCCTTGGCCTCCATGGGCTTAAACTTTGAATCTTTGTGATGATGTTCCCTGTTGGTTAAATATTTGACTGAATGATAATCTTAGCTTTTCAAGTAACCTTGTGATTGCAGAACTCATAAAAATATTACCCAACAGTCCAACCTAGACTTGTCATCCTGGTTGCCTGCTTTGGCAGAAGCAGAATCCCGACTCCATGTGAGGCCATGAAAGCATCCAGCATTTCTCAGGCTCTGAAGAAAGGAGAGAGAAAGGAACCCCTACTCTCTGCTTCTGCCACAAACCTCTTCCATCTCCTTCTTGCTAAAGTTTCTTACTCTCTAGATCATTCTTATGACAAAATTTCTAGTAGTTTTATTCTAAAGCATGATAGGATTCTTAATAAATTGAATCATGAAAATAATGGCTCACTTGGTGGAAATTACATACTTCCTACTCTTGACATACTTCAGATGAAAATATCAATAAATACAAGAAGGAAAAGCAAAATGAAATATTTTCAATAAGCAAAAAAAGAATAGTTTACACTCTGCACTCTCTTCTGATGGTTCTGACTAAAATGAAGACAAGACGTGGAATCACAGCACAGTCTCCTCTTGCTGGATTCCATCTAGTCTCACTTCATGATTGCATGCCACCTGTTCACAGCCAAAACCTGTTTTCATGTCTAAATCTGACAGGCAGGCTTGAAAGGAGTATGCTATTGTACACTTGTACCTCTGCTCTACATACGAGGGACTTACCTCACGTTCTGCCCGAAGTCTTTCTCTTCATACAATTTCTTTATGGTTTATAAGTAATGTGATGCTATTGGATTTCTAGTGACTATGTTTCTTGCAGTTTTCCAAAAACCTTTAAAATAATAAAATGATGGCATATTCAAAGCTGATACTGAAGAGGCCATCACAATGGCCATGATGAAAAGACAGAGTGAGAGGAAAAAGAAGAGCTATGAAATAGGATGAAAAATATAAAGACCAAATAACAAGAAATCATTGCTGCTCTGCCTACCAGGATAGCTCCCATTCTCACTCGTATCAGTATGTTGCCTACTAGAAAACACAGATCCCAGCGTCAGAAAACCAGCTCTGGAGTCTTCATTCTGTCATGTTTTCCTGATAGGGCCCTCGACAGGACACACAAGCTCTGAATATCTTAGTCCTCATGTCATAAAGTGGGAATAATAACACTGTTTCTGCTCTCAAATTCAAAAATATTTATTATAACAAAATAAGAATATTTGTTAGCTATGACGTGTGAAATGTAAGCTACTGACCGCTCTCTACAACTGCTTAGGTTGGAAGCTCAGGTGAGTTAGGGCATTCCTGAGTGATGATTTCACATCCTTATTCCTGAGACTGTAGATCAGAGGGTTCAGCATGGGAGTGACTAGGTTGTTTAGGACCTGTACAGTTGCATCCAGCCAGGGGCTTGGGGTTGGACGTAAGTAAATGAGGACCACGGGCATGTAGAAAAGCAGAATGGCAGTGAGGTGGGCACTGCAGGTGGAGAAGGCGCGACGTCGGCCCTCCGCAGAGCGGATCCTCAGAATGGAGCAGACAATGCAGCTGTAGGAGGTGAGGATGAGAAGGAAGCAGCTGAGGGGCATGAGGCCAACACTGATGAACCCCACCATCTCCAAGGCCGAGGTGTCTGCACAAGCCAGCTTCAGCATCACTGGGATATCACAGAAGTAATAGTCCACCTCGTTGGGGCCACAGTAGGGCAACTGGAAGGTGAGAGTGGTGAGAAAAGTGGCCTGAATACAGCCAAAGAATGAGGTCCCTGAGGCCAAGATGGCACACACTCTGTGGCTCATGATTATTGTGTAGCGTAGAGGGTGACAGATGGCAATGAAGCGGTCATAGGCCATCACTGTGTACAGGAAGCACTCAGTGCAGCCCAAGAAGTGGTAGAAGAAGAGCTGGGACGCACATCCTGCATAGGAGATTGTTCGACTGTTCCCTGCAAGGTAGAACAGCATCTTGGGGGAACTCACAGAAGGAAAAAAAATGTCACATAGGGATAACTCACACAGAAAGAAGTACATGGGAGTGTGGAGCCGAGGGGAGGAGATGATGGCCAGTAGAATGAGAAGGTTCCCAACAAGGGTGAAGATGTAGAAGGACAGAAATAAGGCAAAGAGCGTGGTCTGCAGACCCTCTGTGTGCGGGATGCCCAGCAGGATAAACTCAGTCACCGCTGAGAAATTCCACATGCCAGTGAGAATCTCTGAACTTGAAACATGATCCATGACTCCCAAATCTGGATATCAGTATCACATAATAAAATCTCTTTCTGAGAAGTGCTTTGGCAATATCTTTAACAATAGAAACCTATCTTTTCATAAAGGGCAAGTGCAAGATTTTTCTAAGAAATCTGTATTTTAGAAGTCTCAGTCCATCCAATCTTGGAAAGAATGTTATAAAAGCTTCCATGATGAGATAAAAAGGTTGGAGAGATTTTCAAGACACTTCCAATTAGAAATGTTTTGGCCTTGTTGTATTATCTTTGAATGTATTTAGATTTTTACTTCTTGTAATATCTTTGAATAAAAAGTTCCCACTATTCATTACCATCTGCAAAACAACAGAAAAATCGTATTAGAAATCAGAACAAGTAATACGAATCTTGACTTTGGGACTTCTTTGTTATTGTGGTTTAAATTACCTGCACACTTACATTCTTGGCTTTGGAACACACTTATTAAAAGTCTCCATTTGTTTTAGGAATCACTCAACAGAATTCTCTCCCTTCAGACACCAGATCTTGGTATCAGTTTCTCTAAAGAATCTTTTACATTGTGCAGCCACATTCAACATCTAATCAGAAGCTTTAACAAGTGCCAGTGAAAAAAATCTCTAAAGATAATTGACCGGAGCCGTGAGTGATAGAGGCGAGATGATAATGGGGTCGGTTCTCAAAGTTTTATTGCGTACAGCTCAGCTGGACCTAACAAGGTCCGCCGCCCTCAAGCCTTCTTCCTCCTCTCCCTCTGGGAGGAGATACATGAGTTTATATAGCGAGAAGCAGCCAATCACAGCATAGCAGGAACTCGGATAGCAATTGGTCACAACCGACTGTTGCTAGGCAGATGATCACTCTTGGCAGGTTAATTACGTGGCAACATGGGCCAACAAGAACCAGGAAGCAGGAAGCGGGCGCCATCTTTGGGGAGCGGCTCATGGCCCCTAACAGATAATGACCAAGATAATATAAGTGATATGGTTATCACAAGTAGGTAAAATGAAAGGGAGAAGCAAGCATTCTGGGATAGGAGTGGGATGTTGATCCCTGTTACCAATTCTAGCCACACTTGAATAGCCTCTGCACAACTCAAATTCTCATGAGCTTTTCATCCACTGTCCTTGGTCAGCAAATGTTCTCAGAGTTTCCGGTCCTTTCCTTTGCTCAGAAATGGTGATATTCTGTGATTCTACAATTTTATTTGACTATAAATTCATGTCAGAAAAAGGAAGCCTCCAAAGATTAAGAAGATCCCTATATGGATTTGTTGGCATGCACGGGGCAAAGTAAAAAAAGTGAGAGATGGGCAGGAATTTGAATACTCACATTTTCCAGATGGGAACAGGTTCAAGATGTCCAAAGTGTAATGATAAGACTTCACAATTACTGCTTCTGAATACAGCAAAGCATACTCCATCCAAAAGACTTTGCGTTTCCTCTTTATAAACAACCCAATGCCATGGGATTTGTGCAAAAAAAAAAAATCAGTACACATGTGCCTCCTTGGATTGCTTTCATGGATGTACTTCAGAGGTTAAGCTCTGGTTTGAGCTCAGTGATATCTCTGAGGGGCAATTAGTTTATCAACCTCCTCAGCATTGAATCATGAAATCATAGGCATGATATCATCCAACAGGAATGATCTGAAGTGGGAAATATGTTCCCCAAAGATTGTTTGTATGGCAGTTAAGTTGCAATTCTCATATGAAGTCAACACCAATGTTAACATACTTCTTTTTTGTTTTTTGGTTTTTTTATTTTGTCTTTTTGAGACAGAGTTTTACTATGCAGTTCAGCCTGCCCTTGAACTCACTTTCTAGCCCAGGCTGGTCTTGAACTCACACCAATCCTCCTGCGTCAGCCTCCTGAGTGCTGAAATTACAGGCGTGAGCTATCATGCCTGTATTAGCATACTTTCATTTTACTTGAAATTATCAAGAATTGCATCATATGCAACATCTTAACCTTGTTCTACAAATAAAGGATATTAGAACTCAATGCAATGTGACTTTCCTAAAGTCAGAGAGAAGAGTCCCCATGTCCCCAAGCTTGGTTCAGTTTCTACTGCACCACCAAAGATTCTCAAAATGACTCCGGCAAGAAAGCAGCTGTTCCTGTCACAGCAGAGAGTTATTAATAGATTTATTTGAGAGAGGTTAACAAGTGTTTGTATCTTATACAATGCTTACTGCTTCTGTTATGTATTTCCTGACCATACCATGCTATGACTTCAAAGAGTAATGGCAGAGAAGTGAAAGAGAGGGAAGTTAATTAGCTCATGTTCTGTTCATAGAGATAAAGCCTCTCAGAAATTTTAATAGACGTTTCTCAGGAGATATTTCTATTCTTGATATAACTTGTGGATCATTTTTAATTATATTTGCATTGTTCTCTTTTTGATCACAGAAAGATAGTCTAACTCATTCAATTCCTTATTCTCCAGAGTCACTAACATATTGTAGGGACACTTCATTATAAAAGGTAAGAGTTCTTTTCTGAGTAGTCTTCATCCAATGATATGTGCTTTATTGTTTGTTGGCGGGACACGAGTTGGGATGAATTGCTAATCACAACTAACAGCAGTAAAAATGAATTGTACTGTAACCCAAAAATGTAAGGTTAGGATGAGGGTTCCTCACTGAATGACAAATTACTTGTTTGTGTTTGCTTTTTCCTACCTTCTCCCCTCCTTTCCTTCCTGCTTGTGAAATGAAGTTTCGAGCTTCCTGGAAATTATGATTTTTGTGAAAGAGAACAAAAGAGTGGTACTAAAACCTATGACACACATTTTTTTTTCAGTATTTTTGCGGGAGAAAGAAAGAGGTGAATGACAGAAGTATGATGGGCATGAATTCCTGGAAAGCACTAATTCCTAGGCAACCTCTCAGGCCGGTTCCCTCTCCATTGTCAAAGTTTGTAACTTGCGTGCACAGTAGTGTAATAACAGCAGGCTCAAACACTGAATCAGAAGTAGACAAGGGACCACTGCCTTTATCAATGGACTAGGTTATTTGTGTGTATGTATCTGTACATATGTTCATCCATCTGGACCAGATCTTTGCTTTCACTGGGATGTTCAACCATAGCATCTTTATTCGTTGGTTACTAGTGTTTTCCTCATTGTGAACCTTGATGTGCTGATGTCATGGAAATGTGGTTGTGTCATCTGCTCAGCAGAGTGGCCAAATCTGAGATCTTCTAAAGAGGATTATACCAGTGCATTTACAAGAGGAAATATTTTTATGGGTTTTTAATGGTATGTTTGCAATGCATAATTTATTCATTTTTGGGAATTATACACATTGCAACTTAATCTTTTTGTTTCAATTTACCTTCTTGGTACTGCCTTTGCTGCCCATTTCCTTCCTTGTCTCACAAAGCTGACCTCACTCTTTTCTATCATCTTGTGTGTTGCTCTTTAAATTTTTTATAGTTTGGATTTCTCATAGAAGAAAAACCATACAATATTTAACTTTCAGGAGACTTTCCACTTAACATTACAATCTCAAGATGTGTCCAATTTTCTACAAACAATTAAAATGCACCCTTTATGGTAAATGGTACTCCATTGTGTATATAAAACTTGCCTTAAGCACTCATCTGTTGATGGGCATATCAGCTGCTACCAAAATGGAGCTGTTATGAATTGTGCTGCTGTAAACATGTGTACTCATATACCTTCATCATACAATGTATAGCAGTTAACACTCGGAGGAAGATATCCACAAGAGTATAGATGCGACAAATGGAATTTCTATTTTTAGGTTTCTGAGAAATCTTTATGCTTATTTCTAGAGTGGTTGCATTCATTTACATTTTACCAGCACTGCAGAAATGTTCCTTTTCACCAGCAACCTCATTAGCATTTGTTTATTTTTTGAGTACTGAATGAAATCCATTCTTTTTGGAATAAGATGAAATTTCAGTGTTCTTTTAATGAACATTTTTCTGAATGGTCAAAAATGCTGAACATTTTTTCAGAATTGGCTGTTTTTCTTTTGAGAATTTCGTTTATTTCAGATTGTCCATTCTTAATTGGATTTTTCATTTTTGCATGGTCTAATTTTTTCAATGTTTTTATATTCCTGTAAAGGGAGAGATTGAGATTAAAGAGGACATAACAACATAAAAATACAGGTCAGAACAGAACAATTTAAGCAGCATAGTATTTCACCACAAGATAATCTGACTTAATAGTAGTTACCATAGTGTCTCTTTCCTTGACATATTTGTAACTTCCTATACTATAGCATCAAACACGTGAAGACAGCCTGAAAGCATTCAAGAGGATAAAAGGATTACAATGTATTTAGAACCAGCTAACAGAAAATGAACAATGGTTTCTATATTATCTCTTTGCCTATAAAAATTTTTGTTTATACTGTCACATCTAATAAAATCCAGTAAGATACAACATGATAAAAGCAATGGAGACAGAAGAACAACAATTTGATGTGACTTCAAAACAAGCTGATATTAAATCAGCCCTAGCTATTATGATGTCTTGTTTTCATCAAAATAGCAGTTCATATCATCACAGACAATAATATCACACAGCCCAGAATAAAACCATTCCAATTAATGAGTGAAAACTTTGTAAGGCGTCAAAGCCATATAATGGGGAATCATGATTACCACATACTTTTATGCATTTACATCATTTCTTACACTAGGGAAACTACTCAGTATTCATACATGTGTGTTTAATTTATTTCACTTATGAGTACGGTCTCAAGCTGCAATCTCAATGTGATCCTTCTTTATAGCTGAGTAGCACTCCATTGTATAAAAATACAACAACTTTTTATCCATTCCTCAGTTGATGGACACTTGTGTTGTTTCCAAGATCTGGCAATTACAAATTGTGCTGCTATAAACATGGGTGCACTTATATCACTGTGGTATGATGCTTTCAGTTCTTCTGGGAATATGCCTAGAAATTGAATAGCTGGAACAAATGGGACTTCCAAT